TCTCATGCTCTGCAGAACGATGTTCCAACAGCTTCATTCTTCCCTTTTGAGCTTGGTACTTCTTGATGATTTCTACAGCTTTGAGACACTTCTCTATGGCATATTTGTGGAGTTCTAGGTTCTCCTCAGCAGGATCAGAGAACTCCTCAGATTCAGCATCGCTTAGGTTCTTTGCGTAAGAACCTGCATCAGATTTAACATCAGTAAGATGCACAGAGGATGTAAAACAGTTATATTCACTAAGAAGACATTTAACAAAGTTATTAGAATAGTGAGAATTTTCAGTCTTCTCAGATTCTTCATTCTCCTCATCACTGCAGTCGGACCACGTTGCCTTATAGACATTGTTCTTTCTCTTGAAGTTTGGACATGCCTTCTGAAAGTGACCAAACCCTTTGCATTCCCGACACTGATCTTTTCCAACTCCTTGGTCGATGTTCTGAACCTTGTACTGTTGTACGCTGGAACCTCGCTCACCAAGTTGCTGAAACGTGTTCTTACCACCTTCAGAGGGCTTGTTTCCTTGAAACCTTATCTTCTGTAATTTCTTCAGCTTTGAGGCATTTTTAGTAAGAAAGGTAAGGGCCTTCATGATCTCATCAGCATCAAAGGATTCTTCATCTGATTCTTCATCTCCAGCAACTGCAGTACGAACCTTGGCTTTCAACGCTAAGCCTTTCCCTTTGCTTATTCTCATCGAGTCAAAACCATGGTTGATTTCAAAGGTACGCAATTCACCGAGAAGGTCATCAATGCCCAGCTTTTGAATTCTCTGAAAACCCTCCAAAGCTGTGATCTTAATTCCAAATCTATCCGGTAGAGTTCTCATTAACTTCTGCACTTGTCTTGCTTCTGGAACTGGTTCACCAAGCATTGCGCTTTGGTTTACTAGATCGCAGAAACGGGCATAGTACATGTCAATAGTTTCATCATCCCTCATGCGAATCTCATCAAGCTCAGTAGAAACTCTTTGGAGCTTTGAGGTTTTCACCGCGTTTGTACCTTCAAATTGTCTTTCCAAGATCCTCCAAGCTTCTTGAGCGGTTGTGCACTGGATGATTATCTTGTGACGAGTGGGATCTACAGCAGACATGATAGCATATAGAGCCCGAAAATTAGCTTCTTCTGCTAGTCTTTCATCATCAGTCCAAATATCCCTTGGTTTTTCAACCAGAACTTTTGTAGCTGAAGTTGACGACTTTCCATCCGAGGACTCACCTCCCTTAGATTCAGCAGGAACTTTTTCCATGAGAGGTAGCGTCCAACCAGATTCAACGGCCTGCCACGTGCCTTTACCAAGAGATCGAAGAAAGATCACCATCATGGATTTCCAGTATGCATAGTTAGAACCATCAAGAAACGGAGGGCGCGAAACGGACATCCAATTGTGACTCATTGTGGCCGACACACAGTCCCAAGGATCTTTATCCCGTAATTAGAACAGGAACACTGCTCTGGTGCCAATTGAAACGTATAATTACTTGCGAGTGCGCGAAATGTAGTACGAACGTGGATAAACAACGTAAATAGCGGAAGCAATAAACCGAAGATTTTAAAACTCTTCAGGGAAGCGTCCCACTTCCCCTCAGAGCTCTTTCATTGATAAACCGTTCACACTTGTATAGTTTGGACTTACACGACTCGAACTCCCTTCTAGTCTAGCCACAACTACACACGATCCTATCAACTACTTCTTCGGCCACGTCCCGTGGACTTTACACACTCGAATCCCTCGAGCAAAACCCAGTACTTAATCCCTAAGCACTAAAATAAAGTGTTTGTAAAAGAAAAGAAACAAAACGAGTTCAGTTCTTCAGCACTGTAAGAACGCTGAAAAACTGGACCGAATAAAATAAAAATAATAGAAACTCTCAAACACTCAATTGAAGCTGATGAATGATGAACTTGATTTGCAACAGCTTTCTTATCTTCAATTGATTGCTTGAGTAGGCTTATATACAACCTCCTTAAGGTAAGGAGTCTTCACAGTTCTTCCTTTACCTTTTAGGAGTTAATTTCCTTCTCAATTGATTCCTTTCTGATTTGGACGAAATCCTCCATGTAAGGTAAGTTTCTTTGATGTGGAATTCGTGCATGTGATTTGGAGATCTTCAGAATTGAACTTCTAATGGAAATCTTGCTTTCCAGAATCTGGTAAGAACACGACTTTCCAAAAATAGCTGATCTTCCAAATCTTCAAAGATCTTGTGGTGAATCTTTCCAAATCCTCCTTAGATCTTCTCATGAACGTCCAGAACTCTTCTTGTATGGAAAGCTCATCCTTTCATAGTCCTTGCCATCTATTCCTTGTCCTACAAGCATAAGAGAACTAATTATGACATGTGGTATATATGGTAAGTAAATATATAGGATATATATTATGTAATCCTTCTCCTAAAGGATTAGGATTCCATAATACATACTACAATAAATATATACCATATATTATTAATAATAAATATTAGGAACTTAATTAAATCACAAGTAAATAAATAGAAAAACTTCCCTTTAATTTATTTTACTTGCTTAACAAGAAATCTTCTAGAAACACTTAGGTTTGTCGGACATGATGCCAAACCAATGTTCTTACAGTTTTCAAGTAGGATTAGTACAACTAAAAAAGGTGCTAAATTAGTTTTTCAATATTTGTAACGTTGTTGAGTAGTATTAGTATAAGTAAAATGTGTGCACAACTAATTTTCAATATTCGTATTATTTTCGAGTAGTATTAGAATAAATAGAAAGTGTACTCAAATTAATAGCATGAATTATTTTTACTTGTGACATGGGATATATATCATGCTGGGTTGATTGGACCCAAGAAACCAGCTAATTGGAGTGAAGTTCTTAGGTCAAACATGTCCTCAAGTCGAACAGGTCCTCAAGTCAAACGGGTTCATCAAGTCAAACGGAGTCCTCAGGTCGAACATGTTCTTAGGTCAAACAGAGTCCTCACGTCGAACATGTTCTCAAGTTGAACGAAGTCCTCAGGTCAAAACGGAGCCCTTAGGTCGAACTGAGTCCTCAGGTCATAACATAGTCCTTAGGTCGAACATGTGCTCAAGTCAAGTAGGTCCTGAAGTCAATGCGAGAAGACAATCTACCTCATGGGAGATCGAATTGGTCATATGTAGTGCTGTTAAATTAAACGAGCTTGGCTCGGCTCGACTCGGTAAGGCTCAAGTTCAGCTTGAGTTCAAGGCCTTAACGAGCTGAGCTCGGCTCGATAAGGCTTGTTGAGGCTCGAAAATAATTTTTTTATATAACTTTTTATAGTTCGGCTCGTTAAAGCTCGATATCGGCTCGTTAAGGTTCAAGCTTGAGACCTTAACGAGCCGAGCTTGAGCTCGAGCTTGAGCACTCTAAGTTCGAGCTCGACTCGACTTGTTTACAACTCTAGTCATATGGTTAGATCGTCAAATACGGAATATTAAATAGTAAGAAATAATATTATTAAGATCATATAAACAACTTAAACAAAAATTATAATAATTTCTACATGATTATATTTTCTTTTACTAAAAAAACTCGGTTAGTCGAGTCACGTAAAAAATTGTTGAACAATAGTCCTCTTTCTAGCAGCTTGCCAACTTCACATTGTGTGCAAGTATATTTGTGGGAATTGAGATATGTTGGTGAATTGTTATAATTATTGCTTGAGTAATGTTAATTAGTTCACTTCGTTGATAACTTGGGTTACAACACAAGTATAAATGTATTACTAAAAAA